AATTTTGAATGCTCTGAGTGTTTCATTTTCCGTATTTCTAAAGGGGCTTGTCGCCTCCGCTGGTGTGCCGATACTCGTTGTCTCGTCGTCAGTGTCCTTGGTGGTTAGTAGTACGGTTTCTGTGCCGAAAGCCTTTCTAGACCTTTTGATTGTCGTGTGGCCAGCCGTTGCCTTCCGTTTTCCTTTTGTAGATGTCCGCGGTGCTGTAGCAGCCTGCGGTGCAGCTGCTCTGGCGCCTTGTACTTCGGTCTGAAGCACTCCCAGCCGGAAGCCAGCATCGGCAGCTTCATCTGAATCTTCCAGGTGCCTTGTTTAGCATTCCCTTCAAGGCGTCGCTGCTAGTGCTGGATTTACCAGTCTCAATTGTCTCTCCAGTGTTGTCCAAGCTGGTAGTCTGGGGTTTCGATCCTGATCTTGGAAGGCCATCAACACCCGAGCCACTCTGTGGTGTGTTGCTTACTGCGACCCTGGTGAGCCTTGCCATTCCTGTTGACTTTCCGATGCTCAATGTCTCGCCGGCAGTGTCCTGGATGGTTGGTGGTACGGTTCTAGATGTGGCGATTCGTTTTCGTCGGCTGAGGCTCTCGGATGTTGTTGCATTCATGCCGCGTGTCTGCCTCTTGAATTGCTCGGCAGGTTTCGTACCTACGCTTCCCTGACCGGCTTGAACTTGACTTTCATCGTCTGGCTTCGGTATAACAACTGCAACGCGCGCAGCCGTATGACCCGCTGTCTCAGGCTCCGGTAGATCTTGTGATTCCGGGACTCCCGCAGTCTCAAGCGCTTTTGCTGCCAGCTCAGCGATGTTGGATCCGATGCCAGTCGTTGGTAGAAGACTCGCTTGCTGCGAGGAAACCGAATTGTGACGATTTCCAGCGTGCTCTCGGTCATGGTCTACAGCACGACTGGATCTACCGGCATCGCTACCACTACTGGTCTCTGTGCCCCCAGCAGCTGTTTGCAAAATTTCTGCGTACTTTGATTAGCAGTGTCTTGGTATCTGCTGCTACCGTTGACCTACCAGTGCGAGGTCCGTCTTTGATTTCGACTGAGGGGCCAACTGGCGACTGGAGCGTTGCTGCGGGATCACGGCCAGAGGGGGCATGGTTGGGGTTTCGGACGGCCGAGCTATCTGCTCCAAAGGTGGTTTCGACTCGTGCCATGGTAATCAGTTGTGCCCAAAGAGAGGTAAAGACAAATTGAATGAAGAGTGAGATTACGATGAGGCAGGAAGTGGCAGCTACTGCCCTTTTATATCACTCTCACTATGACGCAGCTTCAAGGAGCACGTGAGAGCAAGGCACTCGAGGGTCTCCCCCTGAGAAACCCGACTGCAGCCGTCGCAATAACCTGGCGAAGAAAACCCTGTAGCCTGCAGACGAAATTGGCTGACACTGCGTGATGCAGCGATAAGACAAAGAGGCGGAAGTAATCGTATCCGGCGCATGCAGCCTGGTGAATGACGCATCGTAGCTTGTAGGCGAGATTGGACTCGTTTGAATGAGAAGACCGGCAGAAGGCGCACATGGAGCCGAGCTGTGATGTAAACTGCACCCAAAGCTTGTCTTTGACTCAATCAACCTTGCCGGTAGTAGGAACACATGGCCTCTTAGGGTATCCGAAGTGCCGGTCGGCCCAGGAAACGTGAGAAACGACGTGTAGTATCACCAGATTCGTGATGTAGCGGTCCGAGACATCATGATGTGCAACTTGAATGCCTGCTCCCTCGGCTAGACGAGGGCCCATTGCTTAGGTTGTGGTGGATGCATGGAGTTGCTGCATCAGAGATGAGGTGTTCGGATAGCGTGTCGCAGTCTTTAACTCTGTCGCTTTCCTTCGCTTGGCTCTGTCCCCTACGGGCAATATACGCCGCATTCGTCATATATTGCTTGTTGTGTGTGTGTGTGTGTGTGTGTGCATATATTACATCGGTCATGCCTGTGTCCTTTGTATCCACGACGCCAACCCTTTTGATTCGCAGCCATTTTGT